CATTTTAAACGATTTAAGTTATAACTACAGCGGGCATGGCAGAAACACATCACCACAAATCTGTATCTTCAATTGATTTATTGACTACAAATTGAGTTATCGCTCCACTTTTTCCGATAAATGCTGAGGGTGAATGCTGAGAGATGCTCATGCATCACCACCACCACACTCCCATCGAAATCGGATATCACGCAAGAAGGTGAGCGGTATTGGGATGACATCAGCGCAATCTGATTTGACACATTTCAACATGTTTTTTGACAGAAACTGTTGGTTGGCATGTGATCCGAGACATTATGTCCGAGACCCAAGACACTCACTAATAATCTTATCCAATCAACGATACAAGTCAACTTCAAGATCTAAAATGTAATGCGGTGAATTTTTTTGCTACCGGTAATTGATATTGATAAAAAAGAAAATACACTTTCAGATGATTCCAAGTGCAAAATAGTTTGGGTCCATGAAATGTTGTCTCTCCACTTAGGCTGCTTGTATTTTTAAAATCTGCTTCAGGTTGTGTTTACTGTCAGTTCACATTTTTTGACCTCCACTTGTGCCGCGGGAACGCCAGCTTGAGTTTGCTCTTCCTGTGATTTTTCTCTCGCTGCCATCTTACTCAATTCAGTGTTTCATCACTGATCATTGTTTTAGCGCTGCTTTATCTTGACAACTGAACAATTGCCTAAACACGTGTTGCTGGTAACATTGGACCCATGTGGTTTGCTGGGTGTAAAAAAGAAAAAAAAAAATTGGAGCACTGCCCAGAATTTATGCCTCTTGGATCTGGTCTGCCATTTTATTTGTGGGAATGTTTCAGCGAGGTTGTGTACAGTGAGAAAAACAGCCCGTTTCGAAAACGAGGATGCTTCCGCCAGTTTAGCAATGAAGGACACGAGTCAATATTTGTCCGGGGGTTATCTAATTTGGGCACGGGGTTTGATTTATACATAAAAGAAAAAAAAAAATTCCAATTACGTTGTCAAGAGCTGAGCAGGTCCAGGGGACACTGTTTTAATCATCGGCTTTATCAAACTCTTTAAATTGAGTTTAACATGGAGAGGATAATGTATTCTGCCGCGGGGAAGGTGATATCACTTAATTTGCCCCAAACAGTAAACATTTTGAAAAATCCATGCTTCACTAGATTTATTGAATAAACACTGACAGTTCCTTGGCTCGTGAGCATCTTTTAAGCTTCATTTTGGAGATATGAATGAATGACGGATGCATCGTAAATTGGGTATTGCTATTTTAGATGCGACTGCACAAAAAAAATAAAAAAAAATCCTTTTGACACAATTGCCATCCGTTACCGATTGGTCAGTGCCATCTCGAAAGAAAATGCACACGTAGTCTGCCATACATTGTTGATATTAGGCGCAAATCTTGTACACGTTTGCTCTGCAGGTGGTCACAGCTGGACCTGTCGTGGTCCCATTCCTGGATCCATTTCACAAAGATATTACAGAGATCTGAGCCGCTGTCAGCCCTTTCCCCATTCCAGCTTATCAGTGGCAGGAGGGATGTCTGGCACAGCAAACAAAGTATGTGTAAAGTCCTTAAATAAAGCATGAAATGGAAGGGATCCCTGTGAGGCCTCTCGCAGTGGTCTGCTACACCTGCTCACCCACCACAATCTAGCGCTTGGACTCCCCTTCAAGTGCCTTTAGCCTCCAAGTCAACACTTTGAATACAAAAATTCATTCTTTGGCTTGCCGAGAGCCTATTTCTCCCTTCTTCATCGAGAAATTTGCATACGTTGGCTCGTGGAAAATGAAGAATTTATCCCATTTTAGTCATTTGGTCATGGTAGTGTTCAAGTATGGCAGCTCATAATTGACTTTGCTATTTGTCCGCTCACAATAGCTGGTTAAGCAATCTGGACACATCACATCCTTATAGCCCCGCAGGTGATTTAGTGACTGACGTGTATGTTGATGAGCATTTATGCATGCGTTCTTGTGTGTGCATGCGTATGACTCGGTTGGAGAGCGCATAACAAAGAACTACCGGCAAATTGATATCTTGGAGAGAGAAAAAAAATAAATATAAATATCATAAATGCTTGTGACTCACCAGGGAACTGGTAGCTGTAGCTGGGTGCAAATCCAGTGTATCCACGGCCATACGTTGCCACAATATTCGGGTAACCTTTAAACAGAGAGAGTGAAAAATCTCAAAATCTCAGTGGCAAGGTACAAACAAAATATGCTTCAGACTGGAACTGTGACACCCATTTAAAAAAAAAAACCCAAAAACACCATTTTGTTGAAAAATAATGCATTAAAGACATGATTCTCTTCCTGAACACCCACACTGAAAGAGATCAAATGTGATCCTCTTAAAAAGCCCGAGATTTAGAAAGAATCTTTTATCAAGCGGACAACCTAATATGTATCACGTCCCACCCTCATTTACCCTGCATGAAAAATGGCGAGGTAGAAGCAATTTACTTGGTTGCTTCCAGCCTAATAAAAAGAGGTGACATGTATTCATGGCTCATCATGTTTATGGTGGACTGTCAAGTGAAAAAAAAAAAAAAAACCTTCGCAGTGTTGGCAGAGTGACGACAAGGACCACCCCGAAATCAATGGTCAACCGTCTTAATTAGATTAGCAACTAATTTTGATCGAGCCGCTCGTGTTGTTCTGCCAACACATCACGTGGTCACTGTAATCCATCCCAACACTGTCAACCAGATTCCATAGAAAGTGCGCAAGTACCTGAAGGCCTGACGCAACATGACCACGCGGAAGTCCTTCTCTTGGTTCTCAGCCCTTTTTATTGACCAAAAATGTTGAGGCATTTTTATAAGAGAGAGTAATAACATTTATGGCCCTCTTGGGAGCACTCTTAGACGCCCACCGGTGACAGTGTTGCTGTACTTTATGTTCTGTGGACTGTGTAGAGAGCTTCGTACATTAAAGGTGCCGGATTCACTGGCCAGATTTGGTTGCTTCGATGGGATTTGGAATCAAACTCCTGATTTCTCTGTCTGTATGTCTACTTCCGCCGCATTAGACACGCCAATTGGAAATATTGGCAGCACGTGCGCTGAGGATAGTGGCCATGTTCCACCTGTATTGGCATATGACTTTTGCTCTTCTTAAATGTTGACCTTCACTTCTCTTGAATATGTGCAATTTGTGGGAATTGAGTTGAGAAAATAGATGGGTGGATGGATGGATGTTTTTGTCAACGCTTGGCTCGTCACGGTCACGCAATCTTTTGCCGGAGGAATAATTATACTTTGAGTGACCACGAGCCTCAAAGAGGATAGCGTGTCATGAGAAATCCTCAAAAAGCAGCAGATGCGTTGTCGATCTGCTGTCACAATGCTGATTAGAAGCGCAGAACCTTCAGTTAATTAACTCGACAGGTTGAGGCCGAAGCAGCTGTGGGAAACATATTGAGAGAAGGATGCGAGGGAGCCGTGAGGAAAGCAGTAACCAACCCCCCCCCCCCCAAAAAAAAAAAACCAGGAGAGGGGGGGGGGGGGTTTGCTCTTCCTGTGATTTTTCTCTCGCTGCCATCTTACTCAATTCAGTGTTTCATCACTGATCATTGTTTTAGCGCTGCTTTATCTTGACAACTGAACAATTGCCTAAACACGTGTTGCTGGTAACATTGGACCCATGTGGTTTGCTGGGTGTAAAAAAGAAAAAAAAAAATTGGAGCACTGCCCAGAATTTATGCCTCTTGGATCTGGTCTGCCATTTTATTTGTGGGAATGTTTCAGCGAGGTTGTGTACAGTGAGAAAAACAGCCCGTTTCGAAAACGAGGATGCTTCCGCCAGTTTAGCAATGAAGGACACGAGTCAATATTTGTCCGGGGGTTATCTAATTTGGGCACGGGGTTTGATTTATACATAAAAGAAAAAAAAAATTCCAATTACGTTGTCAAGAGCTGAGCAGGTCCAGGGGACACTGTTTTAATCATCGGCTTTATCAAACTCTTTAAATTGAGTTTAACATGGAGAGGATAATGTATTCTGCCGCGGGGAAGGTGATATCACTTAATTTGCCCCAAACAGTAAACATTTTGAAAAATCCATGCTTCACTAGATTTATTGAATAAACACTGACAGTTCCTTGGCTCGTGAGCATCTTTTAAGCTTCATTTTGGAGATATGAATGAATGACGGATGCATCGTAAATTGGGTATTGCTATTTTAGATGCGACTGCACAAAAAAAATAAAAAAAAATCCTTTTGACACAATTGCCATCCGTTACCGATTGGTCAGTGCCATCTCGAAAGAAAATGCACACGTAGTCTGCCATACATTGTTGATATTAGGCGCAAATCTTGTACACGTTTGCTCTGCAGGTGGTCACAGCTGGACCTGTCGTGGTCCCATTCCTGGATCCATTTCACAAAGATATTACAGAGATCTGAGCCGCTGTCAGCCCTTTCCCCATTCCAGCTTATCAGTGGCAGGAGGGATGTCTGGCACAGCAAACAAAGTATGTGTAAAGTCCTTAAATAAAGCATGAAATGGAAGGGATCCCTGTGAGGCCTCTCGCAGTGGTCTGCTACACCTGCTCACCCACCACAATCTAGCGCTTGGACTCCCCTTCAAGTGCCTTTAGCCTCCAAGTCAACACTTTGAATACAAAAATTCATTCTTTGGCTTGCCGAGAGCCTATTTCTCCCTTCTTCATCGAGAAATTTGCATACGTTGGCTCGTGGAAAATGAAGAATTTATCCCATTTTAGTCATTTGGTCATGGTAGTGTTCAAGTATGGCAGCTCATAATTGACTTTGCTATTTGTCCGCTCACAATAGCTGGTTAAGCAATCTGGACACATCACATCCTTATAGCCCCGCAGGTGATTTAGTGACTGACGTGTATGTTGATGAGCATTTATGCATGCGTTCTTGTGTGTGCATGCGTATGACTCGGTTGGAGAGCGCATAACAAAGAACTACCGGCAAATTGATATCTTGGAGAGAGAAAAAAAATAAATATAAATATCATAAATGCTTGTGACTCACCAGGGAACTGGTAGCTGTAGCTGGGTGCAAATCCAGTGTATCCACGGCCATACGTTGCCACAATATTCGGGTAACCTTTAAACAGAGAGAGTGAAAAATCTCAAAATCTCAGTGGCAAGGTACAAACAAAATATGCTTCAGACTGGAACTGTGACACCCATTTAAAAAAAAAACCCAAAAACACCATTTTGTTGAAAAATAATGCATTAAAGACATGATTCTCTTCCTGAACACCCACACTGAAAGAGATCAAATGTGATCCTCTTAAAAAGCCCGAGATTTAGAAAGAATCTTTTATCAAGCGGACAACCTAATATGTATCACGTCCCACCCTCATTTACCCTGCATGAAAAATGGCGAGGTAGAAGCAATTTACTTGGTTGCTTCCAGCCTAATAAAAAGAGGTGACATGTATTCATGGCTCATCATGTTTATGGTGGACTGTCAAGTGAAAAAAAAAAAAAAAACCTTCGCAGTGTTGGCAGAGTGACGACAAGGACCACCCCGAAATCAATGGTCAACCGTCTTAATTAGATTAGCAACTAATTTTGATCGAGCCGCTCGTGTTGTTCTGCCAACACATCACGTGGTCACTGTAATCCATCCCAACACTGTCAACCAGATTCCATAGAAAGTGCGCAAGTACCTGAAGGCCTGACGCAACATGACCACGCGGAAGTCCTTCTCTTGGTTCTCAGCCCTTTTTATTGACCAAAAATGTTGAGGCATTTTTATAAGAGAGAGTAATAACATTTATGGCCCTCTTGGGAGCACTCTTAGACGCCCACCGGTGACAGTGTTGCTGTACTTTATGTTCTGTGGACTGTGTAGAGAGCTTCGTACATTAAAGGTGCCGGATTCACTGGCCAGATTTGGTTGCTTCGATGGGATTTGGAATCAAACTCCTGATTTCTCTGTCTGTATGTCTACTTCCGCCGCATTAGACACGCCAATTGGAAATATTGGCAGCACGTGCGCTGAGGATAGTGGCCATGTTCCACCTGTATTGGCATATGACTTTTGCTCTTCTTAAATGTTGACCTTCACTTCTCTTGAATATGTGCAATTTGTGGGAATTGAGTTGAGAAAATAGATGGGTGGATGGATGGATGTTTTTGTCAACGCTTGGCTCGTCACGGTCACGCAATCTTTTGCCGGAGGAATAATTATACTTTGAGTGACCACGAGCCTCAAAGAGGATAGCGTGTCATGAGAAATCCTCAAAAAGCAGCAGATGCGTTGTCGATCTGCTGTCACAATGCTGATTAGAAGCGCAGAACCTTCAGTTAATTAACTCGACAGGTTGAGGCCGAAGCAGCTGTGGGAAACATATTGAGAGAAGGATGCGAGGGAGCCGTGAGGAAAGCAGTAACCAACCCCCCCCCCCCCAAAAAAAAAAAACACGAGGAGAGTGGGTGGATGAGCGTGTGGGCCAACATGTGAGTCAGTGTGAATTTAAGTACCATCAAGGGCGATATAAACATACTGTCATTAACCTTCTAATTATGCTATATGTCTCAGTCTTTATCTGTTTTCCACAAGCTATTGGAGCCTACCAACCATAACTCTCAACTAAATGACCTAATAGGAGTAAGTCCTTCAAGCCAGGACGGAAAATGTCATAAGTCTTTCTTCACTGTGTGCAGCAAAAATACCCAAACTGACCATGCGAAATTAAATTAGGCTTATGTTGGGTTACTTCACGTTAAAAGCCAGTAAATAGTCTATGGTTGCCATGGTAATGCTTAATTAACCCATTCCTGCACCCTGTAACCCGATAACATGATAAGCCATCCGTTGTCGTAACCGCTGTCCCTGAAAGGGTAAAAAGAATACAATTTGATTGAATCAATACAAGGAAGACGTTTTCAAACAAAGACAAGCAAAATGCTCTAAAGTGTAACCGGAGCAGAGGTTCCCTCGTACATTTTGTCTGGGAAAACGGACAGTATTTTGCATACATGCATGTTTGGGCGTGTGTGCGTGAGCATGTGTGTCGATTCTGTTCTGTATGCCTCAGAGCCGGTGTCGGTTGGAATCAGAAAGGTTGACCTTGGTCATAAATATCTAATCAGTGTTTGCTGTCCATGAAAAAGATCAATTTATTCCTGACCCAATGGGGAAAATGTGTCTGCCCCAACCATCTCCACCTCGCGCGCAGACAAAAAAGAAAGAAATAAAGCGACTCGGAGAGGCGGTGAGGGGAACGTTAACCCGGTGTGGATGAATGCATGAAAAAAAAAGAACAATCTTCATTAGCCCCTGATGAGAAGTCATCACCCGGAAGCCACAGATGGATAGCTTTCACAAAAGCTTTCATTGTTTGTTTGGGCTGAAAAGAACTGAGATGTGATACAATGAAAAGCCATTATGGGACACCAAAAATTGGATATTATGTGTTTGATATTGTCAAACAGAAGAAATGCCAAGCCAAAATTGCTGGCTTAAATGGCAAAGCCATTCTTCAAGGCTGATGTATCGCATTTAAACGGAGCTCCCGTTACCAAATTTGCTGCAAACGGCTCGCGTTTTTGTGGAAGGATAGAGAAAGGGATATATATTTCAGGTTTTTGGGACAGTGGAGCAAGACGCACACCTCGTATCGTTCATATTGCACACTTTTGAGTCGAAGAAAAACTGAAGTGGCAGGTAGAGGAGAAGGAAAAAAATGCCACTATTCCGTTAAATGAAGCCCGCCGTTGTGTTTGTCTGGTCCGACGGCGGCGTCTTTGCCTGCACTTATTTGCCTTATTAATATGCATGCTAATGTACCTATTTTATGGCTCACCGGCTCTGATTCACTTGAAAATCAATTATCCATCTGGCTCACCCATATCTCGCTCAGGCTCAAATGTCTATTTATTTCAAACAAACATACATCGGGCACGGCACAATAAAGATAAATGCCTCGATTAGAGGGAGTAAACAAAAGGAGCGGGGGAAGGCTTTAATGAGATTTGGCACAAAAGAAGCTTACACTTTCTTAAATAATGAGCCAAGGGTCTTGTTTTTTTTTTCTGAATGCAAATTATATAAAGAAATGTTTCGCTGTCCTTGTTCCAATTTCATTTAGATAAGAGTGTCTCTAAACAAGTTGGCGGTTAATATTCTTACATGAGCACATCACTGCCTTTCTGTCTGCTTCGTCCCAGCGGAGGAGGAGAGTGCTCTCCTCCACGGACACATTAGTGCGTGACAAGTTCTGCAAAGTTCCCGGTGCCTTTTAAAAGGTGCTGAAAAGAGGAGATGCAAATGACTGACGGGAAGGAGAGTTGAAAATGACTACATTTTCAGGAAAGTGAACATGTTAAAAATTTCTTGGCGAATTGAAGTGCCATCTAAGGGAAGCTCAGACGACTCCCTGCTAATTGGTTGCAAAGACCTTCGTCAGACGTTCGCAACAATTTTCACAATTTCTTCGCGGCAAGTACAACTGTTTGTGACCGTTAAAATTGGAAACGTCCGTGAACGTCTTTAACAAACCTTGAACCCCCCCCCCCCCAAAAAAAGAAAAGCTGTAACGTAACCATATCTATGGGATGATTTCACAATATATGGTGATACTATTAGTAGTGTCTAGACAGTAAAGTAAGGTACTGAATATTCAAATATTATTTAAAACCTTAATTTGCTAAAGGCTTTTAGGGCAGCCCAAGTTTGACCTGTAAGGCAGCGGTCCTCAAGGTGGGAGAACTGTACTTGACTCTTTTCAACAAGACGGTCCCATCGTGGGGTGACACACGCGCACACACACGCACACACACAAATCAAAGCCTTGTCTTCCCTGCTTGGGCTCTCCATGTGCTGAAGCATTTTTGGTGGCTTCACTGTCTCATTCACAAGCTTGTTGCGACATAGCCATGTGTGTGCAAGTCAACGAGCAATAATCCCGTACCTTAACTTATTCACTCCCAAAGACGTTTTTAAACGTCTTTTCAGACTTGGTCGAGAATTGGCTGGTACTGAATGAGTTAAATAGGACTGTCGATATTGTCTTATATTGCCAATATTGTCTGACATTGGCTTATTTGTGATAGGCTTCTTCATCCACACTGTGCCAAAGAGAGGTAATGCAGGTACTTCCGGCCCTCTCCAACCAGTTATGCTCCCAGTTTAGTGGATACTCTCTCTCTCTCTCCGTCTCTCTCTCTCTCTCTCTCTCTCTCTCTCTCTCTCTCTCTCTCTCTCTCAAATTAGAATACTTTCAACCCCGCCACAAAGAACTGAGGAACTGTGAGCGGATGTGCTAACGGCGCTGTCACCGTGCTGCCAGGTTTCATTACTTACTGGAGGTACATCAATTCCAGTGTAAATACCTCAATTGAAAAAAAACTAAATATATGAATCTATCCAAAACAGTGACAAATATTTCGATATTAATGAGGAAAGTTCTCAACAGCAAAAACCTACATTTGACCGCAATCCACTTTCTCAGGTGCTTCAGAGTTTGTGTTGCCTGGTGCAGATAAAAATGCATGAATATGGCACAGTGTGCACCTGCTGTACGGGGAGGGGGGGGGGGATATACTCGCAGAGCAAAACGGGGCTCATGCAATCAGCAGCATGTTTCTTTTGCTTTTGAATGAAAAATAAATCTTTTATGTGAGGGCAAGTCCATTTGGGTGGGTCGCACATACAAATTATATGCATAGGAAGGGCAGGGAGAGAGCGTAAGAGAGATGATGGGAGGATGGAGAGGCAAGAAGGGAGAGAGTGAAATAATGTTAAGTAAAAAGGGCCACGGGCATGGGCAGGATGGTAATGAAGAGGGGTAGACCAGCAGCTGAGGTCCCTGTAGATGAGATCTCTCCCTGACATGTGTGTCCCCTTCATTACCCATTAAGGGGGGCACAGTGATGAATCCTTAATATGACATTACACCAATTTTCCTCTTCATTTAGCCTGCTAATGTGCTGGTCTGCTCCTATATGGCCAGGGGCTGTCTGTACCAGACTTCACCAGAAATAGACCACAGTGGCCACTGGTGGCACACCTTGAAGCCACCTAATTAGGGCCAGTGTTAGACTAATGGGGGCTTTCTTGACAACACTTTGCCTCGGTTGACTTTTCCTTCGCAGGTACGAACCGGTGACCAAACGGCATCCATTTTCCTCAGTCCTTCCGTAAAAATGAAATCATGTGAAATTAATGCGCTCGCCGTACACGCATTTAAGCGCTAAATGACTTTGCGAAATGGACTACTTTGAAGCAACACGGCGACCCTCCAAAAATTGCGAGGGGCTACCGCTGTACGCAAACAAGTCACGTCCTTGCTGTGCAGAAAATGTAAGATTTGCCAAGACCAAAATCCATTGGCTCATAATTTGAAATTATTTAGGGTATTATGGCATGTTATTTCCACAAGCTGCGTTTTCAAATTCTCATTTGAAATGGCTCGATAAGGCTTGCTACTTTCATTGTCAACACAAAAGAAACTAAAAAAAAAAAAAAAAAAGCACTTTCCAGGAATGAACAAATTCACCAGCTCTACTTTTTGCACCCCAATGATGGCTTTTCTACTATTTCCAGCGTGGCGAAGGTGGAACGACACTGTGCTGCTAATGGTAAAATTGATGGTAAAAATGAACATATCGCATGTCTTATGTTGTTCTTCGATAATGCGAGGTACAAAACACGTGTTTGTGTGTATAAAGGAGTATATGACTCACTCAGCATGCCCATCCCCAGCATGAAGGCATCCATGGTGTAGGGCAGACCCCTGGCTCGCCCTCGTGTTCCAGGCGGGAACATCACCTCCTTGGGCTGGGCCTTCTTACATTCTACCTATGTAGACAGACAAAAGACACGCACGCACACAGAAACACACGCACACAGAAACACACGCACAGACAAACCATTAGACTGTGCAGGCACACAAGCAGACAGATCTGACAGGGCTGTCTCGGCTCTTTAAGGTAGTTTTCTATTTGACTTGCAGAGCCCGGCGATGTGTTCCGTGGAAAGAAAACAAGACAGAGTCAATCCGAGCACCTCACATTTTAGAACCGAGTCCCTGTGGAAAACTTACAATCATGCTCGGGCTGCTTTCAAGCAAAGGTTGATGCTCTGGTGGGCATGTGCTCAAATGCTTTGGGGAAATACAAGCTAAATACTTTGAAAGACTTTTGGAGAAGACAAGGCGGAAGGAAGCAGCTCTGGTCTCCAATGACATCGCTGTGTGAAAGGCGCTTTTGTTCAAGCGGTGAGCTAAATAATCAAAATCACCATTTAGGCATTGGTGTTGGATGTCGTGTAACAAAGCGGTGTGGAGGCTGCATGTGAAATATACATACACACAAAAAAAAATACAATTTTAGAGCGTCGGTGTGCGGGCTGCAGTCGTTCCCAAGTGACCCACTGTCCAATTCCACCCGCCACGCTCGTCTCTCGTCTGCATTTCGTCTTCTCACTCCAATTCCAATACGTGCGGCTTTGTTCATTTCCCATCCTGCGTGAATGACAGACCCTCCTCCAACATCACACATATCAAATGAGGGATGTGACAAGGGCAGATGATGTGAAAGGAGCGAGACGAGAGTCCTATTTACCACGCGTCTACCCCCACCGCGACGAATTACGCAGAGGCAGGGAGTAGCTGACGAGGGTCAGTTGTTGGTTGCTCTTTGGGTCGGCCGTATGCATCTGCCGCGCTTGCCCAATCTATTTGCTCCGTTGCCTACTTGGCATCGGCCTGTCCGTATGTTTGTCGGTTTGCCTCCTGGCTTCTCCTCTGCTTGTCTCTACTGCCTCTGCTTAAACAGGGGCTTCCTCGGCTGCTGTGGTTTCACATGTCAACCTGGCCTGCTGCGCGAGACAGGCGAGAGCACCCGCGCTGCGTACACCTCAACTAAGAAACATCGAGGCATCCATACAAATAGACATCCAACTCTTGACATGCACACACACAAACAAACATGCACATGTACAATGCAGTGAACAGTAGGGGTGGGCATGTTCTTCCTTGGCTCCCCAAAATATTTATATATCTTAATACAGACAGACTAATACATACATTTTAACTTTTACAATATTACACAATTAGATTCTAATAGAAGATGTCATTACATTTGCAAACATATTAAAAGAATGGTGAAACCTAACTCACAGGAACTAGTATGAGGTTTAGCTATGTTATTAGTGACTAAAGCACTTCTAGCCTAATGAAACAAAAATAAAAGAATTTCTTTTTTGAGGACTATTAGCAGTTATTGCAGTGATTGCCACACTAATTTTACCAAGGAACCGACAGTTCACTTTCCACCTGTAACGAGGTGGGAGTAAGTTCTTGGTGACGGCATCTGCAGCTTTACAGAAGCCATAGACTTTTTCTTTTCAAGCCTCTTCCATCAAATTTCATACCACTCATTTACTTAATGTCACCTTTAAGACGAACAATATGTGCTCGTTTTGTTTCATGAGGTGCTTCCGTTACGTGTGGAAAATCTGAAAAATGTCAAAATGCCAAACATTTGTGTTGATTATTGCCCCGGACGATAATCAGTCTATCACTATAACATACATATACTACGAAAAATGCATCATTTTTCTTTTGATTACAACATCATTTAATGCAACCTGTTTAGAGCGACCTTATCTTACCTCCACAAAACGAAACAAGGATTCAAATGGATATTTTTCCTTGTCAGCCGGCTTGAGACAGTTGACATTCTAAGTACTTTTAGCAACGGATGTGTTCAATGTCGTTTTTCAGGACGATTAAGCCCTTCAATTTTTAAAAAGTCTAATTTCAGACAGTGTTGCTTAATACTGACAAATGACTTATTTAGCCGGCAAACAAAGTCAAGCTGAATCAATGACAAGCAGTTCTGATGGGCGAGAACTTCATTTTGGCTCTATTGCTTCAAAGCATCGCGGATTACACAACATAGTAAGACATGCAAGAACGGTGGTCACCAATGTGGCACGGGTAGCCCGCAGGGCTTCTAAAAATAGCTCACCAGTGATAGTACATTGTGGTTTTTAATGACTGCTGTTGAAGTGTTCGTTTCAAAATGCAAACACTGGCAGAGATTTATAAGGGGAAAAAAAACGTGTTGCATTCAGGGACGTAGTGACTTGAGGGCTGGGGTCGGGGAGGGGTTTACGGCTGCCGTAATGAGCCAAAAATGTTATTGTCCGTTTGGGGTGGCGGGTGGAAGCTGCAAGCTGTGACCATCATGCGGCTAAATGTCAGAAATAGACTGGCCCTTTGGTAGAATCCTGGAATTCACCTCAAATTCTCTAGCACGCCCCCTGGTTGCATATAAAACATATCCATTTCCTTCCTAAGTATTCTGAGACAACATTAACATGATCAGTGTGTCAAACTATGACACATACTAATTAATGTTAGTTAAGGTCATTTGAAGAAATGTGTTATTTCAGACGTGTAGCCCTCGGCACTCATCAGGCAGGACCCAAGAAGTCGCATTCACTTTCAAAAATGGTTGATGCCCCTTGTACCAGATGTACAATAATCCATACAATCAACAACATAAATTAAACCAACTGTCAAACTGATTTCTCCGGGTAGCCATCGTCCACAGAGACATCTGCATCAAGAAAGCCAAACAAAACACTTTCTTTCAAAGTTCAGAGTTGTGAGAGGTGAAACTTCCAAAGACTGAGATGCGCAGCGGCTGAAGAACAAATTTTCCCGAAGCCGCTTTGCCGCCGTCACGGCAACTCTGGCCGCCTCACTTGCCACCAAGTCTGACATATGTGCTGAAAAACTGAAAGTGGAACGGACAAACATATCGGTAAGAAATCTCAACGCATTGCTGGATTTGTCAGATCGTTGACATCGGGGCAACAAATTCAGCAAGTCTCTGCCCACACTGTATACCGAACAGTAGCCCCCCCTCACCACCACCCCCTGAATGCTCAGGTTACCCGCTGCGAGAAAGACAGACCCTGGTGTGAGTCATGCCTACATGCTCTCATACGCAGGTCTTTGATATTCAGAGAGAGGGCTCCTTGTCATGGATTCCAAACCAGCCAGGGGCCAGGATCTGGTGTGGTGTGAGTGTGTGGGTGTTCGCCCGCTTCAAACAGTCAGGAGTATGTGAAGGAGAGAGGTGGGGAGCTTTCAAGAGACAACCAAGTTCAAGAACGTGAAAATAGAGGAGGATAGACCGAATGAAAAGTCAATTCCAAACATGATTCAGTAACGCGAGGATGCTGCAGTTGGGAAGTCGGGGATTCATATTTTTTCACATGGAAGCTTTCCAAGGCAGAACTTTTTTAGTGTTGGTGACGGTTTTGCTTCGACGAGGATTATTGAACTAAAGTGTTTTCCGTGCAATTTTGATGCAATGCCGAGCCAAAAAATGTGAAATGCAAAACTAAAATTCAAATAGTTGTACTAATCTTACTTAAACCACAACGCGTTTTTTATTTTCAAGTCCACTGATTGTGATCCCTCACGGGTAAATTCAATTTACACACTGAAGTAAATGTTTCCATAGTTGTGTGATTCCCTCTCGCACATAGATTTGTCAACAAATAGTATATTTTAGACATTTATTGCATCGATATCATGAAAGCGTTTGTTTTTGCCACGGGGCAAAGAGAATAGAGAAAGACTCCAGTTATGACCTTTTCAGTATATCTCTCATACATATTAACCTGGTATGTAAAACGCAAAGGTGTGGGGGCGAGCTGGACTGGAAATGATTGTCCTTCAGGGACAAGTGTTGGGGGTGTGTTTGTGTGTGTGGAGGGGGAGGAGCAGAGCTGTTTTAGCTTCAGTGGAGAAATGATCCATCGGTAGAATGGCAGGTGAAATAAAGGACTTCTGTCATTCATTGTGTTTCGTTTATTTCATCGGACTATCGTCAAAACAGACGGGAATGTTTTGGAAATGCGAATTGATAGAGGAATACGAACATCAATCAGACATTTCTGACATGTATGTAGTTTGTTTGTTTGTTTTTTTTCAACAATTAATAATTTTAAAAAAAGGATACGAAGGGATGAACAGAGCATTTCTGACCATGAGAGGACGTCCCCTATCGGTCATGCATCCAGAAAAGAATTATTCATACCTTTAAGAAGGGGCGAGTAAACGCAGCAAAGCAAGAAACACGGGTACAATATGCTATTTCAAAATCCAAAATAGATACGGTTACTATAAATGGCAGCCGTGGCAGATACTGGTTTAGTTTTGTTTTGGAGGTGTTGAAATCCAAAGCGAAATTTGTCACGATGACAAATGTAGACGTTGCGACCATTTATTTTTAAAAGAACACCACCACCGATGGTTTCTCATTAAGTAGCATGTTTTCGTTCGACTGACTGGCTTCATCCGAGTACCTGGATCGCGTTGACTGTTTGAAATCTATCGTCAACGCAAAACGTTTGCTGCAGATCCTGCAGATCTTTGAGCGATAAGATCATTAAGATGGCTGAGCAAAGGGACGCAGTAGACTAATATTGACATTTCCTACTTTTAGATGGTTTAACATTTGGATAAAACAAAATAAATGCCTTTCAGTGTTTAGAATCTCAAAGGAATGGTGAGATGGGATGTTTGTTCTGTGCGGTTTATATAAACGCTGAGGAATATGAGGTCATTTTAAGGACCATACGCTCCCCGTGGTGCTTCCATATTCCAAGATGATAATGTCGCCACGCATACAGAGACACTTTCGAGTGATGCCATCATCAAATGGCTTCCCATCAGTTGCAGATTTGAGCACTGTTTGAGCTCTCCTCAAATGTCCCAAGTATAGAGCAGGCTGGACTTTACTGCCATCGCCGCTCCTTGCGCTTTTTTTCTTTCT